CTCTCCGTATGTGCGTTGCGCGTATACCACTTATAAATACAATATAGATAGTTTTAAAAATTGCATAAATGTTATTAAAATATGTTTGAGAAAAAAATTAATCAAAGAAAAAAGTGTACGATCTTGAATATAATAATAAGCTAACTTAATAGAAGAAGAAACTCATACAAAAAACAGTTCTACAAGAGTAGAACGATATTTTGACTTGTATTCATACTGATTGTATTAGTATTTTACCCCTTCTACATAAAATATTTACACCTTTTAGTAAACCTAGAAATGCTAGGTTTAATATCACAAACCTTCAAAGCTCTAAGAAGATATAATTGTATTTTTATTATGAGGAGTATCACAATTATGACAGCATTGTATGGTAAATCTAAAATTTCACCGGTTATAGTTACGTTAACAAATACAAAAAATAAATGAAAATTTTATAAAATAAAAAATATATAAGTATCTTATGATCAATATATTAAAAGTAACATCTTTCACTCATGGATTAAAAACATCACACATTTATTGACATGGCTGCATATTTTTTGTTAGTTGAAGTTGTATATATATACTTATCCGGAAGGAGCAATATAAAATATTTTATACCTCCTTCTGTTGTTTCTAGGTGATAGAATCACAACACCACCCAGACTTATATATGGGTAAAATTATGAGGAAAAATTGAGTTGCATGTATTAATTTAAATAGTATTGGAAGGTTAAAATAAAATTTTAACCATACAATTTTACACCAACAGAATAATCTAGGTTACTTAATAAAAGTTTTATTGAATAAGTAATATTTACCTTACAAAATAAAGTAATACGTTTATAAAATAATTTGCAATTATTTTAGCGTAGGCATATTTTCTAAGTCAATCTGCAAACACTGAAGATGGTAGTTTTTGACTTCTTGCTTCTTGAGTGCTTATAGCAAGATCGATAACAATCACATGTAATGTTATATTCGTCTGTCTATACAAGGCCCTTCTCCTCAATGCTTCAACTAACAAGAGTTCATCATATTATAGAGTGATTGGAACAGATATGGTTGTTCCAAACTTGTACATTTTGTTGGAATTTTCCAAGTGCTAGAATTCTGTAGTGTTAGAAATTTTTCAAGTGCCGTAAACTCTTTTGGCGTTGGAATTGTTTGAAGTGCCGAAAATTACACAATGATTTAATATTTATACGGAGTGGAAAAAATAACTAACACACCTTTCTATGAAAGATGCATCATCCCTTAGAAAAGGATGACACCTTTTACTAATATTATTTAGTACTTTATTTAATTATTTTTATTATTGAATATAAAAGTATATTACTAAAAGGGTATTTTAGTCTTTTAACTTTCTAGTTTAGAGCTTCCTACTTTTAAATTAGTATAGATATAGATATATTAGTTGTTATCCCACCAGAATTGTGATTGGAGATAATCCACAACTTTCTTTTCAACTTGGAATGCTTTGGTGAGAACATAAGGATTGATTGGTGGATCTGAGCCAAAAACTGCATTTGCTACAGTGATAACTCCTGCATCTTGACTACTGAGTCCAGACATTGCAACAGCTTTAGTCTTTCCCACGTTCAACTGAAAATGAATCATACCTTTTGGGAAAACAAACACGTCTCCAGGTTTTAGAATTTTGGTAAATAACTTGTTCTTCATATTTGGACCAGGGTTTGAAAGGACAAAGCCAACGTAGAGAGTACCCTCAAGTACAACAAGAACCTCAGTTGCTCTAGGGTGAGTATGAGGTGGGTTGAGACCATATGGTGCATAATCAATACGAGCTAACGAAATGCCCATAGTGTTGAGTCCAGGTAAATTGTTGACGTTCACATTAGTTACAACTGATCCAAGTTGATTTGAAGTATTTCCAGGTATGTTAAGACCTGATCTAATTCCACTACTAAAAAACATCTGTTTACCGACGTAACAGTACCGACGGACTTTTCTCCGTCGGTATTTCGAAGATATTTTGACCGATCAAAATTTAAATGGGTGTACCGACGGATTCCGTCGGTAATTTACCGACGGACTCCCTCGGAACATTTTGTATTTAAATATATAATATTATTGTACATAATTATTTTGTTTATCTTTTATTACCAATGGACTTCCGTCGGTAATTTAAATATATAATATTAAACATAATTATTTTTTTATTTTTTGTTGCACAATACCGAGGGAGGCCGTCGGTAAGTCCCTCGGTAAATATTTACTTAACTATCTTAGCGGTTCATTAGCCTATTTATTGAAATTTACACTAAGTGGAGGTAATTACACTACTTAAAAATATATTATTGGTAATTAGCTTAGTAATTTATAATTACACAAAGTAAAATTGAATTTGTAGTATCCTTAACTACATCGATTAACCTATACATTAATAAATACATACTAAGAAGAAGTGTACTAGTCGTTTTCATAAGAAATATTAGTGATGGTTTATCTTATAAATTGATAATTACTGTAAGCAGAAGTGTATTAATAGTGTTCTTAAGTAATGTTAATAATTGATTATACATATTGATAATATACTGAGCAAATATGTATTAGTTGTATTTAGCTTGTAGATTGATAATTACATGAAGTATAAGTGCATTAATAATATATCTATACGTAATGTTGGTGATTGATTAGCCTACATACATTGATAATAGCACTAAGTATTAGTGAACTAGTGGCATCCTTATAGAAGTAACGTTAGTGATTGATTAGCTTATACATTGATAACTATACACTAAATAGAAGTTTATTAATGCTATTTGTGAGAAATGTTTGTGATTGTTTATCTTTAATTTAGTTTGATAATTAAAGTAAGTAGAAGTTTATTAGTGCTATCGTTAAGTAATATTAGTGCTATCGTGAAGCAATGCTAGTGATTCATTAGCCTATACATTGATAATTATGCCAATTAAGTAGAAGTGTATTAGTATAGTCTTTAGAACTATTACTGATTGATTAGCTTTATGCATTGAGAATTACACTAAGTATAAGTGTATTCGTAATATCAGTAAGAAATGTTATTGCGATTGATTAGCTTATAAATTGATAATTATGTAAAGTTGAAGTGTATTAGTGACAATTAGCTTATAAATTGATAATTACATTAAGTATAAGTGGATTCGCTGATGATCTATTCTAAATTGATAATTGATGATAGGCTATAATTACGTATTTTAGTCGCTTATTATACTCAAATTTGCTGCACTTATTGAGTTTGAGCTTTAATCGCTAGTGTCTGCACTAATTGTGTGTTTTATGCCTTGTAGGAGTATTCGACTATGTAGATGTTATGGAATGAATTCAAGTGATTTGGAGCTTTGAAATTGAGTAAAGCAATAAATTAAGCCGGATCGTATTCGGGATCAACAGATGATAGTTACATTGATAATACACTAAGTAGAAGTGTATTATTTGTAATTAGTAAGTGTATTAGTTGTAATTAGCTTATAGATTGACATTACACTAAGGGATCGTTTGGTAGGGTGTATAAGAATAATGCTATATGTGCTGTATTAGTAATGCAGAATTAGTAATGCATGTGTTAGTAATGCAAGCATTAGTTATGCAGAGATTATTTTTTATACATTGTTTGGTGTGGTCTATTAAAAACTATAATGCATTGCATAATTTTTTAAAAAAAATAGTTGTTTACAAAAATACCCTATATATTCTTTAGTTTTAAGGGACTTTAAAGATAATTTTTGTCTTTAGACATACTAATTCATGCATTAATAAGGCCTTTGTATTAGTCAATTACCATGGTTTTGCTAATGCATTAGCTATACACAAGATAATACAAATAGGATGTATTAACTAATGCTATGTATTATGCTATACATAGGTGTGAAAGTGTACCAAACAAGATATTACTAATACATTAAAAACTAATGCAAGCGATTATTTTGTGATGACACTCTACCAAACGACCTTCTAAGATAAGTGCATTAGATACACTATCAGAATAAGCATAAATTTGTGGGTGGCTAAGTTTGTAGGGGGTTATAAAGAAACCCCACTTATAAGGGTCATTTTGTGGCTATTTTCCTTTTAAACCCCACAATATAGTTCTTTTTGTGGCTAATTTTATTGGTGGGGGGTTTGTGATAACCTCCGCAAATCGTATTAACTTGTGGAGGTTTATAAATCACCGCAATTCAATATAATATGTAGCGGTTAATAATCTCTAATTTATTTATTTATTTCACCTTATATTTTGTAAAAAAAAGTTGCATAAAAGTGAAGGAGGTTGATCAAAATGAACAATTTGATATAATGTAAGATTATTTCTAACCTCAATATAAATTGAGTCATTCTTCAAACTCTATTTGTTCAACTATATTTTGATTACAGTTAATTGAAAAGCTCTTAACTAAATATGCCGTTATTATATCTTGTCTTTTCTTGAATAAGATTACAAGATTAGGTTCTTGTTGAACAACGTCACCTATGAGGAATAATTAATAGATTAATCGCACATACTTAAAAGAGGGGTTAGAGATAACGAAGCTTTGGCGCGTTTGATGTGAGTCGTTTGAATTGCTAGCTAGAGTTAGTTTGAGAGAATAATTGTAAAAAATACTACTTTTGATCGAGAAATAATTACGTTATGAGAGAATTTATGATCAATAAAGAATAGTTCGGCAAAATTATAGGAAACACGTTAGACACTTATTGAAAAATACCTTTATTTACTTAGTTACTTATTTTTATTGCTTTAACATTTGTTAGTCAATAGCTTAAATACAAATTACAATTTTTATAACTCGAAAATTACTTGAACATATTTTCTTAGTTATATGAGTTGTTTCAAGTTTGTTCTATATTTTAATTTATTATTTGTTAGTAATTTAGTTATATTTTCCAATTTTTAAATTTAAAAAGAAAATGAAAGAGAAAAATAGAGAAAAAAAAGATCTAAAAGACGATATCAGCCACCACCTTTATAGGTTTTAATCTGCACATTAGGGGGTAATTTGGATATTAGACTCAAATTTATGGAACCGGGAAAATTCCCTCTTCTTTTCGCCCCTTTTTTCCCAAAGCGCACAATTAGTTCCCTCTCTTCAACTCACAAATTAGGGTTTAATTTCCTTTCTTCATCATAGCAGGGCTCAATTCCCTCTCGTCATCATCATCTCTACAAAATATTTCGGCGCAATCCGAACAATAAAGGTCTGTATTTTATCATACTCTTGTTTGCTCTAAATCGTCTTTGTTTACTTTCTAATGTAGAGTTCGTACCCGAAATTATTTTCGATATGCCTTTAGAATTTGGATCAATATATTATTAAAAGTACTGGGTTATATTTTGGTTCAATTGATGTGTGGGTTCCTCTATATTCGTTGTTGTGGGGTTTTGAAAAGAAGGATCTCTACTGAGAGGTTGTATATTTGTATTAGGTAGTATTTGGAAGATCTTCTATCATTAAGGATGATTGGAGTTGTCTGTATTTTTGTTTACATGTACAAATGTGTTTGGACTTTGTTTATCCAAAACTGAGCAATTTATCTATGAATTAATTACTGGAGCAACCTGGCCGTCACTCTTATCCTTTGACGGACAAGTTATTTCTATCCTTGTGCAATAAGGGGTCTACGAGTGCGGTCTTTTTTGCCCTGCTCTTCAATGTTGCTTTAGATAGTTGAATTTAATAAAAGGAAATCAAATTTTAATGATTCTTATTTTATTGGTCAATAATTTTTTTGTTGTGCCTTACCCTTTTTTTATAATGTCAAGGTGATGCACATCCATCGCAAGATAAATCCTCCACCAGTGCAAAGGTCTGGTGGGCTGTATGATAGCATTGAGGAGTAAGTTATGTTTATTAACTTTTTTGACTAGACATTCTTTTTAGAGATAACTTAATTTATATAACATACTATTTATTATAGGAAGCTACAACCATTGAAGAATATTTGCAGCATTGAATCCAATTGGATTGAAACAAAAAAATGGTAGCCTTCAGAACAAATAAACACGGTTAGTTCAATGACATCTTGTTATATGGCTACAGGTAAATGAAAACTAGAGATATAAGTCTAAACTAACAGCTTAAATAAATTAATTGCCTATGAATTTCTTTTATCCCTTAACACTATTGTTTACAGAATTATATTGCAGTATAAGAAATAACAAAGATCCCTGGCATTCTTATTGTGAGAATTGATTCTGCTAGCAACTTTTCCAACTCCAATTATATGAACTACAGGTACTAGTTATTTAGCCTACCAATATTGTTTTCTTAAAGTGCTGGGCTTTTGGATTAGCATGAGAGTGATAGTTTTGAAGGATATTGTGATATGGTTAATTGATGAAGAAGAACAACTGAAAGAAACTCAAACATATCACTTATTATTGGAGTTTATGCTTGCCAAAAGAAAAGAGCTACAGAAACTGCTAGAAAGAGTGATCCTTTTGGTGAGTTCTCTGACTGTTCTACAGTTTGCTTCTATTTAATTTGTTTTTTTTATCTATCCAGCTACATGGGATTCAAATAAAGACAATGGTGCTATTCCGCAGTTAAAAGGTGTAAAATCTTTCTCATTTGAGGAGCTGAAAAAATACACCAATAATTTTTCAGAAATCAATTACATTGGATCTGGTGGTTATGGAAAGGTTGGTTTCTATTGACTTTTGATAATACAATGTTATATCATGATGACTGATTAAGAACTGTTGTTTTAATTTACTTGTGGAGACTATTTTCCAACACTCGCATAATTGTTCTTTGTTGTTGATTAACATTTTGTGCAATAAATGTTCAATCCATAGGACGCGTGAAGACTAATATTTCTATAGTGTATCGGTGATAGAAACTAGGAGTCCACCAAACAGTATAGAGGACCAGGTTCTCTATCTGTTCCCACAGCAAAATAAGCAGAAAGTAAATAGCACACGATATTTACATGAAAAACTCCTTACTCATGGGATTAAAAACCACGACCTACCCTAGTAGGATTTCAACTCTACTACATTGAGCAAACTTCAGATTACAACCTATTGCAATATAAGGATTAAACTCTTAATCCCTCACTCCTTACAATGACTCTATTATAAGCCCTTTGCAATACCTCTATTACAAAGCAACAAACCTTGACTAACTTGAAAGTAGGATAGGATTACAAGTGAAGAACAAAATGACATAGACTCAACAAACCTAAGAACTTATGATATCTTCAATGTCGGGATCTGGTCCTTGAGGTTGTAGCTTTGTTCTTGAGAGAGCCTTGAAGGCTGTGGCGGCTCGCACTTGAGAGATATGATTTTTGGATAGCAAGTGTTAAGTTAAACCTTGTATCATGTTCTATATATATGAGGTAAGCATGTGAGAAGAGATAGGATCTTTTATTTTGGCCTTAGCAAGCTACAGTTGTGCTATTGTAATGCTGCCCGTCGGTACAGTGAAGCAGCTTTTACAGCTGTAGAGTTGATCGTACGACGGCCAAGGGAACTGATCACATCTGGTCCTATCTGGTTCCTCGAGAAGGTTGGACCAACATCAAAACATGAAGAACATATCATATCACTTAAAACTTTTTGCGGGACATACAGGTATACAGAGGCACACTTCCAGATGAACAACTTGTTGCAATTAAAAGAGCAGAGCAAGGATCTAAGCAGGGTGCCCTTGAGTTTAAAACTGAGATTGAGATTCTCTCTAGGTTTCATCACAAAAATGTTGTCAGCCTTTTAGGCTTTTGTTTCGGGCAAGGTGAACAGAATATATACCAAATGGCTCCTTGAAAGAAAGTCTTTCTGGTATGTGAACTCCTATTGACTGTTGTTTAGAGAATCAGCTGTAGGTTCACTACACATAGAGGGGTTACGTGACCCATGACTAATGTCAATTTTTGCAGGGAAGTCTGGGATTAAGTTAGATTGGAAGAGAAGACTTCAGATAGCCCTTGGAGCAGCCAGAGGCTTGCAATATCTTCATGATCATGTTGACCCTCCTATCATCCACCGAGATATCAAATCGAATAACATCTTGCTGGATGAGCACTTGAATGCGAAAGTTGATGATTTTGGTCTCTCCAAGTCAATGAGTGAGCCAGAAAAGGGTTACGTCAGCACTCAGGTTAAAGGAACAATGGTAGGTCCAGACTTTATAACTAAATGCTGCATATCATATGGTGGTGTTTTTCAGTTTCTATAAGTAAAATGATCTCACGTCTTTATTGGAGTATTAGAAGATAAAACAAACAAAAGAAAGAAAACCGTTCATATATAAGCACGTGCAGAAAGTGTGTGATACAATTTTCTTCAGAGAATGTGCGATCACATTTTCTGCTTGATAACGCGAGAAAACTCCTAACTTTTTCGCATGACATTGCTTTCTGGTTTTAACAAAGTGTATGGAACTTTGGAATTTTAAAACCTGAACACGTTTCAACTTTGCTGAAGAATTTGTAACTGAACACATTCAATGAGCTGCTGTGTACTTTTATTTGCTTAGGGCTACATAGATCCAGAGTATTACACATCACAACAGTTGACTGAGAAGAGTGATGTCTATAGCTTCGGAGTTGTGCTACTAGAGCTTATAACAGCAAGGAGCCCTATTGTGAGAGGGAAATATATTGTGAAGGAAGTAAAGCAAGCAATAGATAAGTCTAAAGACATGTACAACATTGGTGGTTTCGTTGATCCCGCTATCCCCTCAAGCATGACACCTATGAGCTTCAGGAAGTTTGTGGATCTAGCTTTAAGGTGCGTCGAAGAAGCAGGAATTCATAGGCCAACAATGTATGAGGTCCTGAAAGAGATAGAGAACATCATGGAAATAGATGGAATGAACACTTATGCTGAATCAAGATCAACTTCTGCTAGCTGTGAAGGAACCAGCATAGCCTGTAACCATCCTTACAGTGAAGAAAGCCTAGTTCGCTACAGCGGGGGCACCAATTCACAATAAGTGTACAAACTTTTCTCCTTGAGCCAACAGCTTTTACTAAATGTGCTTTGGCACTACCTGTACTGCTAGAGAAATGGAAAATGATATGTAAATACAAATCGCGTCCTTGCGTACATTCTCTGTGGGTGATTTCGCGTAGAGTATTAAGAGCAGTGAACAGCCTTATACTAGAACTGATCCAAAAGTTCAAGTATGTTTGTGAATTCATATCAATCAAGTATCTCCTCTCTGACATTATATGCTTAATTGGTTGGAAATATTCATTTCCTTACATGTACCATCGGGCCTCCTTTGTGCTGAAAATTGTGTCTCCGGAGTCTATGCTGTTTCCTCAGAAAAATTAACCAATTGGCATAATCATCATTGTTGTTTGACAAAAAAGTGTTGAGCTTTTTGTTAAACTAATTAATGATAAAGCAGAGGATGAATCTTAGTTAAATATAATAAATTCTAGATCTAATATTGAAGGATTTCAACAGTACGGATAATGTTTAAGGATAGTGAATATCATATATGAGCTGAATGATTGCTAATGAATGTTATGATAATAAGAGCATGCAATAAATGTAGACAGTGGCAATAAATGTAATAAGAGGGAATTTATCATCCAAATATTATTCACCTGACAGCAACGTGGAAGGATGGGAAGTGAAGATAGATAAAGAATCCTCGGATCTAGCAAACAGAGAATGAATAATGTATGTTGAGCCAAGTAGTCAGTGAACAAGACAGTATTTGTATATTCCTCTTTGTCAACTCTTTACAAAGTGTGCTTATCAAAAAGTGAAGATCCCCCTTTTGTTCTCTATCTTTTCCTATTTATAAGGGATATTCCCAAGAAACCCTAAAAAGTACAATATAAGGAATATCCAAAGGAATATTCCTCGTGTTCATGTCTAAGCCTATCCTGCCGTTACTTTTTTACTCCACTTGCTCGTCCTCGGCAATAATCCTTCTAAGCATGACTCCTCGTTGTTATGCCGTGATCGACCCTGTCCTCGACCTAATTTATCTGCAGTTATCAAGTCGCCAAATTTGGACCAATACAGTTAGTCCCTCCACTTGTTGAGGTTGTGATCTTGCACGCCCTCGAGAAGCGGACCTGATTTGCGTCCGTTTAGGAGAAATTTGGTCGTATTGATTAGGTCGAAACGGCCGAGGTCAAAAAGAAGTAGCGTGGCCAACAAGGGTGCGGTTGGTGTGGCTGACGTGGGGTGATGTCGTAGCCACGCGCGTCATCATTACGCGTCTTCCCGAGGGTGCGTCTGTGCTTTTGTCGTTTTGATTTTGGTGCCATTGTCGGTCTGTTGCTTCGATTTTGGTGCCAACCAGCCTTATAAATAGATGGAAGGGGGCTTCATTTTTGAAAATTTTCACCATTTCTCATTTTGCAGGTGCATTGCTCCCTTTTGATCTTCTTCTCTGATCTCCGCTTTCAATTCCTTGCAGCTTCCTCAATTTTAATTCCTGACTTCTTACCCAGTAAATACCTTCTTTATATTTTATTGCAAGCGTTTTGCTATGGAAATATGTCCAACTCCCCTCATATTCATGACGAGGTTTTCGATGCCACTCCATTATCAGTGGCTCTTCCTCCCGGCGGTGAGGAATTCATGGCTGAAGAGGAAGAAAGCTTCCCCACCGCGGAGGACATAGTCCCCAAGAACCCTTTGGTTAGAAACAATTTCCCAAAGGAACCCGCTCCTACTACTGCTCAGAAGCTTTCTGAGACGGGATCGCCTCACATAGCCGACCTCCGGTCTAAATATAGCATCCCTCCTCATATCGAAATTGTTCCAACCGGAAGCGACATCGTAGAGGTTCATCGACCCAGATATTATGCCTTCTACGTCTATCCGTTCTTAATTGGCTATTCTCTTCCTCTCCTCCCGCTGGCGGAGGAGTTTTGCCGATTTTACAATGTCTCCCCGGCGCAACTCTCCCCTTATTTGTATAAGGTTTTCCTGATGCTAGCGAAGTATGCAGAGTTGGCCGGCTGTGAGGTCAACCTTCGCCACCTGCTGCATCTATTTTCGCCTAGATTTTATAGAGGCACTTTGATACACTTACGACATCGTGGGACTAGAGGATTGGTGGTCGGGATGGACGATAAGATGAATAGGCAGTTTTGGCATAAGTACTTCTTCATCAAGACCGAGAACCTGATGGCGGAGCCAACTGGGTTTCCCGAGCAATGGAACTATAATCGTAAGTACCTTACCGTAAGCCCGTTATTTTCTTTCATTCTTTCATTTTCGGCTCACTCGCGACATCTTTGTTTTTCAGCTGAGAGGCGTGCACCTTCTCTCGTCTTCGGTATTGAAGATTAGGTGGCTCACGTGTTACCCCACACCGTGGGAATTCGTGATTGGGCGTCCTTCCACAAGCGTTTTGGACCCAAAATCCCGTCCGGTAAGTGTCATTTCTACTCAGTTTATTGCTGTTTACTATTGCTCTTTGACATGACCTCCCTTTGGTATTAGGTCGGCGAGTTTCCAAGAAGAAGGCTCCAGTGCCCGCATTCCGCCAAGCTATCGCGTCGGCTGGAATGCAATTTGCCTTGGCTGAGTCCGCTCGAGGGAGTCGGACTCAAGTTTCGCCGATGAGGGACTCCGCCCCTCAAACTGTTGCTGTTCAGGACGAGATCTCTTCCCAGCCCATCTATCACCTTGTGGATGAGCCATCTGACGGTGAGGAGTCACTGTCGAGGAAAAGGCGAAGAGTGGAAACCGGGAAGGCCGTTGTCGCTGACGTCGAACCGAAAAAATCCATCGCCTTGGAAGCGGAATCTACGCTTACACTGAACGTAGAGACCGTCTTCAAGGCAGATGCCGTTATGGAGGAGGCCCTCTTGGGTCGAGGGGGTTCGTAGTAGCAGAGAGCTTACACAAGCCATAGAAGGTGGCGCATCATCGGCGGCTGGGTTAGTAGAGCGGTCCTTGTGGGGGACGACGACTCTGGCTCGGATATCGACCCCGAGGAGGTACGGGCCTTCCTGGAAAGGAACACTCGTGTGGAGGTGAGGACGGAGGGTCCTAACCGACACATAGTCATTCCCATGGACTATGACCTTTTGGACAACTCAGAGCGGGCGGTGCCAGCCTTTGCTCCCTTGTGCGCGGATTCTGAGAACACGACGCTACAGGCGATGAACGATGCAGATCTGTCGTTGGGCATATCCGGCATGGCTCTGCGAGTGAGTGCTCTTTTTTTTTTGTTAGGATTTGTTTTGTATGTGTGATCTGCTCACACTTACTCCTCTCTTTTGTTTGTCAGACTCTCATCATGAGGATCGAGCGTGACCCGCGGGAGGAGCGGAGGATGACCATTTTCAAGAAGATGACCTCCAAGTACAAGGGGTACCGTACTAAGCACCGAACGCTGGTCGACTTCCTTAGCCAGGATGGCGAATTTCAGTCGCTTCCTGACGGGCTTAAACAGAAAGATGATGAGTTGGAGAAGAAAGGTGAAGATCCAAGGGAGAGGGACGATGAGCTTATGAGGTTTATCGGTAGGTGCATCGAGCATGAGGCAGATCTTAAGGCCAAAGAGGACGAGCTCGAGGTGAGCTAGGGGGTGATCGCTGAGAACTCCGACCTTCAAACGCAGTTGGCATCCTTAACGGCTAAACTCGGGCAGAGGGAGGCAAGGACCGTCGATCTAAGGCGTGAGCTGGGTTCTAAGATCGAGGAATTGGGTTGTGCCGAGAAAGGCAGAATGGCCGCTATGGCTGAGGCGGCGGCCCTTGAAGATGCCCTCCGCATTTGCAGGTCCGAGCGGGCTAATGAGGTGGAGGTGTCAGCGCTTAAGGTGGCGAGGTTAGAGGAACGGATCCAGGATTTGGAGGCGGAGTTGCCTGGGTTAAACGAGCAGGTCGTTGCCTTGAGGGCCGAGGAGGCGACGGCAATCACAGCCGTCCACATCTCATACTTCTGCTAATCCCGGTGTGCCGCAGGAGTTGTATGAGAAGTGGGTTCATGCCGAGGCTGACGTGTATAAATCTTTGAAGGCCGCTGGGAAGGTTTTCGAAGCGGAGCTTGAGGGCGTCCGTGTCAAGGCACGTGCAACCCGTGAAGCTTGTGGTTACGACCCTAGTACGTCTAGCGGAGATGAGGATGATGACACCACGGATAGGCTTGCCTCTGATCCTTGGTACGATGATGAGTACGCCGATGGGGATGGTGTGGTGTGAAACTGTTGTACTTAGTTTTTGTTTTGCTTTGCTATTTTTGCGAGGGCGTTCTCGAACCCCTTTGTAAAATGTTGTAATTTGAACAATTGAAATGGAATGATTGCCTTTTTGCTATGTATTTCCGGATTCTTGTTATCTTTTTTGTTTGCTATGCGGTAAAGTCCTTGACTTTTTCGGCCGCTTGCACGTAGTGTTTTGGCGTAGTCGATCATAGAGTAACTCGAGCGAGGTCGAATGTAAAGTGAGTCGAGCGAGGTCGAATGTAAAGTGATTCGAGCGAGGTCGAATGTAAAGTGATTCGAGCGAGGTCGAAGGTAAAGTGATTCGAGCGAGGTCGAATGTAAATTGATTCGAGAGAGGTCGAATGTAAAGTGATTCGAGCGAGGTCGAATGTAAAGTGATTCGAGTGAGGTCGAATGTAAAGTAATTCGAGCGAGGTCGAATGTAAAGTGTAGAACGACTTGGTGGAGTTGTGCAAAAATGCTGCTTTATTTCATTCCTTGGAGAATATTACATGTTTCTATTTGTTCAATCATTTTCATTGTTAAATTCCATTTTTATAAAAACCTAGGTTTTTCAACTAAACCCACAATTTATACACCCTTAGTAGTTTCGCAAGCCATGTTGAATCTGCTTAGTACTCGGGCCGTAGGCACCATTTGGTCATGAAGGCTGAGTTTCTCTACGACCCTCGATCGAATGATGTTGGCCGAGCTATCTAGATCAATTAACACACGTTTAACCCGAGTTTTATTCATGAGTACAGAAATTACCAGCGCATCATTATGGGGCTGCATGATTCCTAATGCATCCTCGTCGTTGAAAGATAAAGTTCCTTCTGGTAAGTAATCTTGGGTCCGTTTTTCCCTTGTGATTGATACTTTGGTGCGCTTTATCATTGGACCTTGAGGAACATCGACCCCTCCGATGATCATATGTGATGTGCTGAGGTTCATCTTGCTCATTTTATTTATTGGAATTCGTGTTTTCTAAAATGATTCTTGGCTCGGTCGCTCAGAAATTCTCGAAGGTGCCCGTTGTTGAATAATCGGGCTACTTCTTCTCTCAATTGTCGACAATCCTCCGTTCTATGGCCATGTGTGCCATGATACTTGCATATTTGGTTGGGATCCCTTTGGGCTGGATCGGTTTGTAAAGGGCGAGGCCACTTTGTATCTTTGATACGTCCGATAGCCGATATAATGGCAGCTGCGTCAATATTAAAGTTGTACTCTAATAATCGTGGTGCTTCTTTAGGTCCGATAGGTCTGTCGAACCGCTCTTGCTCATGAGCCCTCGAGAGCTCTGGCCTCGATAACTTCTCCTTTCATTTCATGCAGAATTTTGCCCAGGTCTGCTGTTCCTTCGATCTCCATTATATGGAGGTATATCTTGACTTTACAAATTGTCAGCTTCTGTCTTTCCATACGGAGTCTGGCACTTTTCTGGTCTATTTTGTCTTTATATGGCCGGTCTTTCTTTCCCTTTTTCTGATCGAAAGATCTTTTTTGACGCGCTATCGCTATAAAGGTTACACCTCTCTATTCAACCTCAATTCTCCGTCAATATCCCTCTTGATTCTATCAACGGGTTTGATAGGATAAACAAACCCGGAAGGAGCCCCAAGTTGATCGTCTTTGACCCTGATCTTCGATTGGTACCGATTATGCGCATCGGCCCAAGTCACAGCAGGGTACTCTATCAGATTCTGCTACAACTGCTGCGAAGCCACCGAACTTCGAACATTGAGTCCTTGGGTGAAAGCTTGAACAGCCCATTCATCAATAACCGATGATAGGTCCATCCGTTCCATTTGGAATTGAGACACGAATTCCCTGAGCATTTCATTGTCCTTCTACCTTACCTTGAAAAGGTCTGATTTCTTGGTTTCGACCTTGATGGCCCCGGCGTGTGCCTTTACGAAAGAATTTGCAAGCATAGCAAATGAGTCAATAGAATTAGGTGGTAAATTATGGTACCATATCATAGCTCCCTTTGACAATGTCTCTCCGAATTTCTTTAGCATGACAGATTCGATCTCGTCATCCTCTAGATCATTCCGTTTGATAGCACATGTGTAAGAGGTGACATGCTTGTTTAGATCGGTTATTCCATTATACTTAGGAATCTCGGGCATGCGAAATTTCTTGGGGATCGTCTTTAAAGCCGCGCTCGGGGGGAAAGGATTTTGCACGAACTACTTGGAGTCACTACCAGAAAATGGGCCTATGGGAACAGTTATTTTGGCAACGGTTCACAAACCGTTGCCATAGATCAGATATAGTAACGGTTGAAACCGTTACAGTAGAATTTAGATGCTATCAGCACACTATTGACATCAAACCGTTGCAAATGTAAAAACACTGTTGCCATAGAGTTTTGTTTCGCAACGGATTTGTAAACCGTCCCAATAGACATGTATATGGCAACGGTTTTGGGAAAAAATTGCTATGGGAACGGTTATTCATTCCCCCTCATTTTTTCCACTAAAAGTTTATTGGCCCGCCAAGCTAATTAATTAAGTGACCTGTATTTTATAGTTTTTAACTAATTCAATACAAAAACCCCTCCGCCCATCGAAAAACTACTCCCAGTACTGTATCCAAACTCCCATCGTCGAACACCCAAAATCCCCTCGTCGATACACCAAAAATCCCCTATCTGATCTCTTTTCTTTTTGCATCGTTGCCGAGTTTAAGATTAATGGCTGAGTTTCATCAAATACCTCTTCATTAGACCTCCATAATCATCAAACCCTAGAGTTCCCAAAGGCCAAAACTGTGAGGACAGTCGGGGTCTTTCCGGAAAATCTGAAAGACACTTCCGTCGGTCTTTTCGGCACTTCTTCAAGGACAGTTGCTTCTCCGACACTCCTACCCCAAATCCCCAAATTTTAAAATCAGATTTGTGCTCGAATCAGAGAAGCCCAAAATCACCATAGCCTGGTAATTTTCTTAATTCTTTTGGTCATTTTTACTGTTTTTGTTACCAATTCTATACGTTTTTACTGTGTTTTTTAGTTCTTGGCAAAAAGGTTCTTAATTCATGCCGTAGTCTTTTGGGTTTTGTGTTTAATTCATGTTGTAGTCCTGTGTTTTTAGTTCTGTGTTTAAAAGCGATTTCATGAGGTGAGAATATATTTTAATTAATCATGGTTAAATGCTAGAAGTTTATAAACAATCATATGTCATGTATCTATTGAATTAGTGCATATAGTCGTATAAGTATTCAAAAACGTTGTACACGAAGGCATTGCTGGCGACTATCATGTACCCTAGATATATTGCAGAAGGTTCTAGGTAGAAAATATTCCCCTGATGCTGCTTCAGATGTAGATTTTTCATGTTGCAACCTAATTGTTTTTGTACTTTAAATTGCAGACTTAGGAAGTGGCAGAAACAATGAAAGATGGATTAACCCTGAAAAAGTCATTAATACTAAGGCCCAACTGAAGCAACTATTCCTAGTATAAAATTTAAATGCCTAGCAAATATGTTCATTGTTGTGTTAGTCTTCCTAGCAATTCCATCAACTAATTTTGAACATGTATCTTCGAAGTTTGTATATGTTACTTTATATGGACTGTTGCTTTATATATCACATTCATATGCAGTCCTGATTATGTTTGTTTTTATTATAAATTCCTAAATTTCTTCTTGTATATTGGCATGCATCGTTTGGAAATGCCTAAAGTTTATCTGATAATGCTTTTCTCAAGGTATATTTCTTGTGTGTATTGAGAACAACAGGCTCTATCCCAGTGTTTACACTCTCAGTTGTATTGGATGGTATGTAAATTTTATTTGTAAATATAAGAACAGTTACATCTTATCAGTTTAGCCTGACTTGCTAGAACATCGAAAATATTAATTAAACAGCCTACCAATGTAAACAATATTATATGTTGGAAATCTCTTATTTCATTCTTCTATTTTCAGCGTAGCTAGCTTGATTTATTGTACTCTCTTATTCCGTCTGGTGATTCTAATTGTTTGACTTCTAAATTATAAGCTGAGCTGAAGAAACACATCAATGGTGTAACTAAGGGTTAATGCCAGTGTCTATTTTGAGCATAATTATTGTTTGACTTCTAATTGTTTGCTTTCTGAAAGCCTCTCAGAATTATCATAATGGGGCAGATTATCCCCTTTTAGACAACTTGCTTCGAGATTCTTTATTCTCAAATTTATTATGGGTAATATTCAGCGAAAAGATTATGACATTCCTGACAAGGCGAAACAATGGGTTTTTGAATCAGTTTATAGTGCTTGGAGAAAGTATAAGAGTCAATTGAAGACAAATCACTTCAAAGCCTATGAGAATGATGAGCTTCGAATGGAGAATATGCCAGTAGATGTTCCAGAATCTCACTTTAAGGATCTTCTTAAATATTGGAACTCCGATCCTCACAAGGTAATTACATCCAGAATCTCTTGTCTAGTCTTTGGTAAGTGAACCATAACAACACTTGAAACTATAGGTAGGGAGGTAACACATACTAGGTCAAATGATCAGCTATTCAGCTCACATGCCTCTTATGTGCCATTATTCCTTTATGTGTCTTATTTGGTACTGTTCATTTGGAGCTTGATTACTTGAATCAAAGACTCAAATTCATTTTTCTTTCTTGTTGCTGTCGAATTTTGATCGAGACCTTGTCGTCAAGTTTTTAGTTCAAATATTTCGAGCAGCTTTTATATTTGCTTGTTTGGATGCAGTTTTGATAGGCATTGCACGATCTCATTTTGAATTCTTTTCTGACAAATTGTTCTACTTTTGGTTTACTTGATTGAGAAATAGTTGTTTTTTGTTAGTCATTGAGGATGGGGAAGCCTTATTTTCATTTTCGAAAACGTACATTAGGAAGGATTATTGGTTGGCTCCAACTTGTGCTTGGGGGGCTTCTTATATTTGTAAGCCTTTCCAGTTTATTTAGCGTGAAAGCAGTGCATGATGGTTTTAACATATGCCGCCAATCTTTATGGCGTGAAAGCAGTGCATGGAGCAAAGGAATTATTATTGTCGGACCGCTACGATGTTCGAATTGCCCACAATATAGTAGGAAAATGCAATGTTCATTCTTTTAGGAACTATACTAAGCTTGAGAATGTTGGTCCGGAGGATTACTGCTGCCGGTTCAAGTATAAAACGGCAACTGGAGCTTTTGTGCCAGCTATGGTTCCAATGTAAGTGTATGAAATTCCGCATGGTTGCTGATTGAAGTTGAGTAATGTTTTTTATGCTCATAATCCTTTTTTGTTGCTCTGAAGGTATTGCAAATGCGAGATGCCATTTAATCCGGATGAGTTTATGGTAAACAATATTGATGAGAATAGTCAAGTAAATTCGATAACTTGGTCTTTCTCTTCTCTTCTCAATCTCTGTATTTGGGCTACGGAAAGACTAATTTTCATGTCAGGGATATAACTTAGAGCCTCAGACAACCAAATTAAAAGAAAAGGCCATTTTGGTAAGTTGATAGTGTATCTAGAATCTAGATAGGCTTGGCTTTACTAAAACTCATTTAGTAGTTCTCCTATGCAATGTAGATAAGTACATTTTGGTGCTTTTAACCCCTTAGAAAATTAAAATTGGTTTCACAATGACTTATGCTGATATGGTCGTCTTGTATAGTGCAAGATAGACCGTCCAAATTGTAGATATTTAATTGCTTGAAAAACGTGAAATGGTAAAATGGAGGACACGATCTGCTATTACCAGTGATGTTGCTTGCTTTTCCCAATCAATTTCTTGACAGAGTTCCTCCTCCTCCTTATGTACTTTATCTTGACTTGACCATATTCTTATCTTGCTTTTTGACATCTTCCTTTTTCTGTTGTTCAGAGCCAGAGTAACAATAAACAAGAAAGATACATTTATGGCATGCTCGCTTTTGCGCTATTAGAACTTGGCCGATACACAGATGCAGAAGAAGCTGCAAACAAAGGCTTTGAGATTGATAGTGAAGATGCCTGGACACATCATGCTGTGAGTTACTCTTTCCTTTCTAGATGATATCTGCTAGTCAAAAATGCTAATATTAGTTGGATTGGCTAAGGAAGTCGTCAAAATACATGCAAATATGTTGGCGGCTGGAGGAAATTCATTTATTCATTCAGTGCTATTCTAGTATAATATTTTTTGCTTTTCTCATGACAATCTGCATGCAGCTTTGTCATGTTTATCACTACAAGTGTCGTTTTAAAGAAGCAGACAATTTATGGAGAAATGCTCAAGAACCTGGAGTTCTTTGTCATCTTTTATGCATTCGCAGAATCCGATACTAGTTCAGCTTTGAATTTTGTAATTTTTAAAAGCTAACCACTAGGATATTTGCAGGTATACACACAATTGGTGGCATGTCGCGCTTTGTTATTTGGAAGGTCATTCTCCGATGGAAAAAGTAAGAGACGTGTATGACCAGAACATCTGGAAAGAGTTGGAAAGAAGCGATGCCTCTCCAGCCGAAGTAAGTTAGTGGTTTGTAGTCAAAAAACTTCTTTCAATAATACTTGATAAGAGTTAACAGTGTTCTTGGAAACATGTAGATGTACTTGAATATTGTTGGTTTGTTACTCTGGGTGTATATACGAGGTGGGATTAATGTCTTTGGGAATTGTTTGAAGATCCTACCTGATTTGTCTGACAAATATGTCTGACAACATCACTGGTTTGTACGCAGCTGCAATTCATCAATTCCTACTCCTCCTTATGCTCTTTATCTTGACTTGACCATATTCTTATCTTTCTTTTTGACATCTTCCTGTTTCTGTTGTTCAGAGTGTGACTCCTGCAGTACTTCTCAGGTTTCTGCGCGAGCATCGATCATAATGGGTAGACAACGATATTGATGCCTACGCAGCTGCAGCTGTTAAAGTTGGTCCTTGCAGCCTACCTGGGGCCCGAGTCTATAATTTTGGGGGTCAAGTGATACTTCCACTGGCACACACCGCTGAACATGACGAGGCAAGTGTTCTAGATCCTATTTAAATCAATGTGGGCATGCCTAAAACTGTTCCTTTCTGTCTTCTTTGGATAATATGGGATGGATTCCTCATCATTAATGTTGATCACAATCTATTTTATGCTCAGTAGTTGCTGGAGGTCACCAAGTTGGAAGGAGTTTGCCATTCTCCAGAAGATGTTATAATGCCAAGAGATATGTTCCTACTGCAAGTAAGTTCTATTTCTGCACATGGATTTTGTTCTTTTGTAGAGAATCTTAACTGGATCTAACAAAGCTCGTACCTCTACATAAGAGACAGACTTGTGCAAGATTGAGAAGCTTAACTTAATGGTTTGAGAAACTTCAGTTGTTACTCTGGCTCTGGACAACCGTCCAGTACCAAAAGGAAATTTATTATAGATACCATATGCTCCTATGCTGTTTTCCTGAGCTTTCGAAACATGAAAGTTACCATGCATCATCTCTAGTATCACAAGTCTGCTCATATCCAAGTGTTGAGCATATGGATTCTTGATAGCTATGTTTGTGATTCTTATGCATTATTCTTTATTTTGCTATAAGTTGGATTACTAAAAGAAGATCGAAAACAGTTAAATGCTTGAGTATTCTTAGACCGGATTCTGTTGAAGGGTAATAACTTTATTTACCCTCTTTTGTAGGTGGAGTAGATAAAGAAATGGATGATGAAGGCGATGAAGAACTAGATGAATGTTCTAGGAATCTTTTATTACCAACATTTTTGAAACTTATTTACTCTCTTGAAATGTACTAAACTTATGCACTCATGGGGTAGAACATTTGCTTTATGGATATTATTTGCTTGATGGATAATTTTGTATTATTAGTAGTTTCATTTTATGATGTATTTAAATTTTAGTGTTATTATAATTTATTATATGTATAAATATTAATTTATAACAGGTGCTATATTTGGTTTTAACTAACTGATACAATAGCCTACCAGAACTGTTGCAATAGGACACAAATGGCATTCCAGTAGACAATGTAAACCGTTGCAATAGATCCCATAAACTGTTCCTAATACAAATATAACTGTTATGATAGCCTAAAGAAACCGTGGCTATATCCAACATAACCGTAGCAATAGCTTACGTAAGTGTTGCTTTAAATAATATGATAACGGTTAAAAACCGTTATATAAACAATACAGTAACGATTGTGAACCGTTCCAATTGAAAAAAATAACCGTTCCAACAGAGAAAGGAAAAACCGTTGCGATAGACGTATCTATTGTCACGGCGATGCAAACCGTTGCAAGAACCGTTCCAATAGACCTATGGGTACGCCGACTGATGTGACGGTCTTTAAACCGTTCCAGTATCCCTAGGGCAACGGTTTGGCAGTCTATGGGAACGGTTTTGCAACCGTTACCCTAGACCAATTTTTCAGTAGTGAGTCCAGTCCCTTTAGTATTGGCGGTGCCCCCGAGATTTGATCGACCCTAGAATTGTAAGTTTCCACCTTCTTATTGTTTTCCTCGATCTTCTTTCCCCCCCGATTCAATCCGTTTTGTCAATTCTTCGGGCATCTTCATGATTGCAAGATTGGTCTCCGATTCTTTCTCGTTCGATTTCCTTGAAATCGATTCGACCTTGTGAATAACTTCCTGGGACGACTCAGGCTCGATCCTACTCAGTGGGTGATTCTGGTTTTGGAGCTGGGCTATCGCTTCCTGTTGAGCCTACAATATTTCGAAGATCACCTGTAGGCTAATCCTGCCATCTTCACCGCCATGAGTGCTTCGAGCAGTTGATCGAAAGTCCCCACGGATGTTGCCCTCGGGATCGATGGCCAAATTTGCGTTAGTGGCTACATGTGAGCTGATGTCGATTGGATCTACAGCCGGAACTCCATCGAGGACAACCGGGGGTATGTCGTTCCCTGGTGCTATGCTATCATTTTTGCCGTGGTGCCCGAAATCATTGTCAACGTATAGAGGTGCTGACTGAGAGTTTGACATTTTGGTCCTGGAATCAAAGATACTCCAAAGAACAAGTGCAAAATAGTGTGTGTTATGAAAGTTTATACCAGGTAATCACTATTATCCTTAGCCCTACGGTAGGCACCAAACCTTTTACCCTTAAAATTGGAAAATAATTAAATTGGTACACGGTTTTAAGGATACGTGATATAACTTGATACAAATTAAGAAGACAGATTAATATTAAAATTAGCGATAATAAAATAAATGCAAACCACGAAATTGATCAGCCTTAGCCTTTGAGTTTGATCACCCCCGAGCCAAGAAATATCTCAACAAGTGTTAGAACTTAACAACAAGATGATAAGAACTAGAAAATGATCAGTATATTGCTTTCTTTGGGCGTGCTACAATGTGTCCTACAAATGATCAGAACCCTCCTTTATATAGTGGGGGTGTTCTACTTTTGGTACAATTCTATACAATGTAAAAAATCTCATGATTTGCTAATTATTTGGCCTCTTCTTGATACGTGCTGAGATTTTCGCCGTGATCCTCGACCGATTGCGGATATTATGGCTTTTCGTTATTAGGCTCGGTAAGTTTCCCTCGATCTTTCTTGGTCTTTGGGTCACGAGCTCGACGATCTAACTTTGCGCCTTGGTTCGATATAACCCGAGCTCGAGCTTTGACCTGCCATGTTTCAGCTTCGATTGGTCAAACAATGGACGAACCCGATTTCGACCGTTGATGTGTGGCTATAATTCATGGTTTTTGCACATTACATGCTTTGCGTTTTACATGCTTTAATGTTAAAATACACTTTTTTTAGCGTAATGGAGGCTATTTTATGTGTAGGTGCATCGGAAATGAAAGTAGAGCTAAAAGGATGCTTAAACGACGAAAGTGCGCTCGAGAACGATAAAAAGGAGAAGCCGGGCAAAAGCCAGCTCGACCAGGCTTTAGCCTGGCGAGGCTAGCTTAAAGCCAGGTGTTATCCAGGCGAAGCCAGCTTAAAGCCAGGCCTAGGCTGGCGTTAGCCAGGCGACGTCAGGCCTAATGCCAGTCCCAGTCCGAGTTTTGAAGGTTTTAATTGTTTCCTGCCTTGACTAGGAGTTGACGTACACGTTTAGGTCTTGTCCTAAACATATAAATAGACCTAAAAACGTCACTTTTGATAGACTTTAGAGAGACGGAGAAGGGGAGATCGAGTTTGGACACACTTGAGACCTACGGAGGCACGAACACACTAGGAGCAAGGCGGAGAATTCTTCTACGAGTTTTTCACTTCCTTTTTCCTATTTCCATTATTGGTTATGAATTCTAGTATTATAGTTATGCATACTGCTATGATTAGCTAATTTGTTATCTAGGGTTTTGATGGAACCTCTAGAAGGATGATTTTCCTGTTACGTTAATATAGATAGTATTTTCTCTATTTGTTCAACTACGTTATTATTGTGGTTGGTTGAAGAGCTCTCAATCGACTGTGCCTATTTAGTGTGTATTACTCGGGAGAGAGTGCATATTTAGGTAGTTGTTGAACAACATCACTACTAACATATATGAGGGATCAATATGGAGGGTTTAAAGGCGGGATTAGGAATAACGAAACCTTGGGTGCGATCCGAGTGAGCCGTACTTAATGCCAGCTAGAGTAATTCGGGAGAATATGTCTAGTAAATTGTGGTAATTACTAGGGAGAGAGTTACGACAGTCAGAGCGCTCATGATCGGTAGAGAATACTTAGGCGAATTTATAGAAAACATAGCGGGAAGGATTCCGACAATTGGGAAATCATAACTCTAGACCTCCTTAATCTTGTCTCTAACCCTTAGTATCTGTAGTTGTTAATCTACTACTTTAATTATTTAGTTAATTAGATATAAGAATATTAATATTTATAACTTAGGAATTGTTCGAGCTTATCTTCTTAGTGATATTGAACAACTATAGCTAAGCCTTAGTTCTCTGTGGGATTCGACTCCGGACTTGTAAACCGGATTATATTTGCAATGACCGCTTAGTCCTTTTTATAAGGCATAGTTGGGCGTGATCAAATTTTGGCGTCGTTGCCGGGGAACTAATGGTATAGCTGTAGTTGTACATATTCATAGGTTGCAAGTTTGAAATTTTATTTTTGTTTTCTTGTATTTGATTATTTATTTTTTTTAATTTTTATTTTTGACTTAATAGACATGACATCTTGAAATTATGAGAGTTTTGATGTTGGTAATTCTACTTTTGATCCTCCTTATGCATATTGTGGAGGAAACCACCCAGGGCAAAATTATCAAAATATTCCCAAGAGCGAGTTATGTGCACCAACTCAATCTTATGTGTGGAATGTGTGTGATATATGTGGTGGTCGAGATGGTCACTTTTACGGTTGTGCTTATATTTCTTATCTTCCCCCAACCCCTTACTTTGATGGTTCTTCTTTTTCTTGTAAGTTAATAGGAACAAAGAACCCAGGGATGATGACCTGAAAAAGATCGAGGATGTACTAAAGTGCCATGTGGAACAATATGATGAGAAACCACGGCAGATACAAAGGAAACTATTCACCACTTGGAGGCTCAAGCGAATAAATTAATTGAACCTTGTAAAGCGCAACAAGTTGAAATTGTGGATAATAGCCAATATGAGTATGAATTGGCTGTAGAAATTGCCATTACACTGGAGGATTTAAAAAAATACGGGGAGGAGCTAGAGGAGAAGGCCAGAGTAGAACACCAACAATCAATCGAACTAGATTTTGAGGATGCCGATGTCGTAGAAGAGATACTAGAGTCAACCAAGGATATTGAGGATACATATTTAGTTTACTCTAGTGTCATTAGCGTTGAGGATGTTGACAATCCCAATGTTTATTTAGTTGAGCGCATTGGTCCACACTCCAAGCATTTTTCCACATTGTGTTTGGATGATGATATGGAAATAGAGTCGTCCGAGCCGCTTGAGGAGTCAAGGAGTAAGGAAAAAGATGCCTACATTCTGGAATTTTTCGTGCCAGAAAGTCGGGAATACGCATCTCATCCAAAGGCCAAGAAGTGCAGAATACTACATTGTTTTATTGGGCCAGTTAGATTCATTCGATCACCCCAGGAGTATGATCACAGAGCAGAGTCAAAACTTGGGGTTCAATTTAAAAGTTCAAAGTGGAGGCAGAATGTGATTCGCATCGTGCCGCGACGTTAACTCAAGCGCTTGTTGGGAGGCAACCAAGCTTTACTGCTTCCTTTTATTTTAATTTTATTATTATTAATTTTTTTTTATTATTGTACTATTTTTGTAGTGTCGATTTTTTATTTTCTAGGAGCATGGAAAGTAAAGCTATTGGAAGGATGCAACAACAAACCAGATAGTTGGAACGAAGTGTGAGGTACCCGCACGAAAGACCAAGCCTGGGAGAAGTCCGAGTACCCCATGAGCTGCTAGTGCTTCAGTCTTTGGCCTACCAGGGAGTTTCTTTCACCCTCTTATTAGTATGGTGTGCATTGGGGACAACGCATAATTTTAAGTATGGGGTGAGGAGATTGTCTGGGTGACTTTCTATGCTATTTTAGTTGTGTTAGTTTAATTGAATATTTTTTTTATTTTTTAGAAAAATAAAAAAAAAGATTGGACTTTTCCCGACGATGGATATCCTAGACAATTTTCTTGAGGGATTTAAGTCTAAAGATAAAAAGATAAAAAGATTTTCTTTGTAGGTAGTGTTGTAATTCCCCCTTGATTTTTCTTTGTGCCGCTGTTCTTTTCCAAGGATTTTGTTTGAACTGGGTGTAGTTAGTTTTAATTTTTAGGAGTAGGAATCACGTGGCTAAGCACTTAACCGCAGCAATATCTTTGAGCTTTGTGATGCCTTGAGAATAGTCAGTACTCTGGTTGAGACGCTTAGGCTCAATTTTTGACTCTAGGATAAATACCTTAAATCGTG